ATTGTCACCTCAGAAAAAACATGTTAATTAAGGATGCATTTCATATTTTAAAGAGTTATAAATCCTTTTTGTAAGTTATGTTGGTGGACATTTAATTAAGTGCTTAGTTAGCATGGTGAACTGAAGCTACAGGAAGGAGTAAGAAGCAAATCTAAGGATAGAGTTGAGGTAAGGTGTGTATTGTTCTGGACCTTGTGCCCAAATCAGTTTATAGATCATATAACAGTCTACAGTTGGTTCAACAGGAATATTATCAGCCTTGCTTGAGTAAATCATTTCCATGCCAAGCTTTGAACAAATCTCCTTCTGTCAGAGATGCATGTGATATTCCTAATTATATTTCAAGTTTGTCGAGTAAAATATCCTCTGCTTTTAAAAAACTGTTCATTCATTATTTCACTAAGCATTTTTAGATGCCTACTATGCATGGCATAGCAATAGAGTTCATGGATTTTGACCTCTAGGAGTTTGTGGGTTCATTGGAAAGGCAAAAATAGTCAAGAAACAAAAAGTTACTAGTTTGAAGCTAACATAACATCAACTATACCTAAGTGCTGGAAAATGAAAAGAAAGAGTAGTGATTGGCAATGGTCTTTACTAGTCATCTCCAAGGAATATTATGATTTTGAAGGAAATGTAGTGGATAAGGATTGGTAAAAGAGAGATGGGAGGGAATTTCAGGCAATGAGAACAGCATGAACAAAAACCAGAAGGTTGTATTGCAATTTATCCAACCTTCAGTTCATCTTTGGCTCCCCCCACCCCGATGTTCTTCCTATCAAGTCAGTCACCACATCCTGTATATTCCTCCTCAAGATTGTTTCTTATACTTCTCCTGTTTCATTCACCATCTCCCTAGTTGAGATTCTCATCATCAGAGTCTGGACTCTTGAAATGATCTTTTACCTGATCTTACCACTAGGCTCCCCCATTTCCATTCTACCTGGCACTTCCAAATTAATCTTTCTAAAATACCAATTTCATTATGTCCTTCCCCCTTCCTGCCCCCATCCTCAGCTAAAAGGCTTTCAATGGCTTTCTTTCACCTAGGATAAAATTCAAATTCCTCAGTCTGGTGCTGAAGCCTCTTTGTGGTCTGGAACCATGTTCAATGAACGCCTATTAAACACATGCTATGAACAAGGCACTATGATAGGCACTGAGGATACAGCGATAAAAATTAAAGAGTCCTTGCCCTCAGATAGCTTATATTCTGCTTATTCAACCATATCTATTATTATTTTCCTACACCCAGCCCAGACAGCCTCCTTACTGGCCCTTAAATAAAATATTGCCTTCTTTATTCCAAACTATTAATTATGATACTAGAATTCCCTTTCCCCTCCTCTTTGCCTATCTAAATCCTTTGCCTATTAATTACCTGCTAATTGTTCAGAATTCAGCTAATGCCTTTTTCCTCCATAGGTCCTTCCCTGACATCTCTCTAGTTCCTCTGAATTCCTTTAAAGCTCTCCCTTTCATTTGGGTAATCGTATTGAGACTTAATCATTTCATGTATGTGTATCTTGCCCTTCCACTCCCAACTCTAATTTTAGGTTGCAGAAGACTTAGAAAATGTCACACATTTCTTTTGCTTATTGCTTGGGACCCAGCACTTGGTTAATAGATGGCAAATATAAACAGCTAGGTGGCACAGTGGAGAGAGTGCCGGGCCTGAAGTCAGGAAGACTCATCTTAGTAGCTGTGTGATCCTGGGCAAGTCACTTAACCCTTCTTGCCTCAGTTTCCTCATCTATAAAATGTGCAGCAGAAGGAAATGGCAAACCACTCTAGTGGTTTTTTGCCAAAAAAAACCTAAAGGGGTCATGGAAAGTTAGGCATGACTGAAACAACTGAACAACAACAAAATATAATAAGTGAGAAACTAGCTTGCCTGGAATGGGAAGGCTGTGATAAAAACTGAACTGAAAGCTACTAATGGGGATAGAAAGGATATGTAGAAAGCAACAGAGGGCTCTGAATACCAAGCTGAGAACTTTAACTTTGATCTAATATATCAGGAGGAACCATTATAGGTTCTTAACAATGAAATAACCTAGTATGGATGGGATTTCAAAAAGGTGGCATCTACATGTGAAGAAAACACTTTGCCTTGAATTGCATGAAATCATTGTTCCCCAATTTACATCAACTTTTATGTCACTTCTATTAGTCTGTGATCTCATACCAATAGTGTTCTCTCCAGCAGTGCACCTTACAGCCCATTTATATTTTTCACGTATGACTGTTGACCAAATCCTCTCATAAACCCAGTGCGTGAATGCCAAAGGAACACAGAGACTATCTCTTAGTGATCCCTTCATTTTGATACATGGCCAACCCTCCTTTTCCAAATGTACATTATATGATTTCACTTATATAGCCTCTTTGCTGGGAATAACATTATATCTTGCTATTGTCCTTTAACTTATTGGAGCTTCTGGTATTCTACAAGTTGCAAATATGCAGCATTGTAGGAAAACTGGAAGTTAAATGATGGGGCTTTGCTAAAGGGCTAAGCTTTGAGTCATTAAAAGCAGTGAGTAACTATTTCCCAAAGACAGTCCATCCTGTATTTCCCTTTTTCTTTATTACTGGGCCCGCTTCATTTTTTATCTGCAGCTTTGTCCAAGGTGTGTGTGTGTGTGTGTGTGTGTACGCACATGCATGTGTGCTTATATATACACATGTGTATGTTGTACATGTATACCCACATACATCATATATGCACATGTGTATGTGTAATATACATCTATATTATGCATATGTATATGCATATATGAACTCAATGTCTTTCTAACTATACATAATAGTCCAAACCTCTTAGGGTATTCTTCATCCACTGAGATTTTCTTTCATGGATAGTTGGACCAAATTCTTTTATGAATTATGGCTCATATTTAGAAAGCTTTGCAGTGTCCCAAGGCTTGATGCAACTAACACAGGAGAATCTGGGAGGCCCTATCATGTATAGGGAATCCTTTTTTTTTTTTTCATTTCAACTCTGTTTTGGGTTAATATATATATGTACATATATATAATATTGTTACCTATATTCCATAATATAATAATCAGCGATATGATATGACATGATATAATATGATGTGATATAATATGATATGATGTTATATGGTATGATATGGTATAGTATATGATATGATATAATATAATATAATATAATAATCAGCAATTTAATAACACGTTTGGAGGATAAATGCCAAATTATTGTCCTAGGATCCTAGATATAGAATTGGAAGGAACCTCAGAAGTCATCTAGTTCAGCCCTCATTTTACAGCTGAGGAAACTGAGGACCGGCAAAGTTAAGTGCCTTGATCAAGGTCAGACAGGTAGTGAGTGTCATAGCTGGGATGTAAACCCATATCTTCTGACTTCAGGTCCAATGTTGTTTCCCACTGTACTGCCACTACCTGTTCAAACAGAGGGTCACACTCTATTGGTACACGTCTCGAGGAGTCCCGTCTGATTTTTAAATGTGTGGGGGGTGGAGGGAAGGCACCTAGAGGTGAGGAGCCTTCCGAGAGGTGTTTTCCTCTACTGAACCAAGTGCATTTTTATAGGCAACAAACAAACCAAAGTCCAGTGGAAGCTTCTGTCCTCTGCCTCTTATTTGCTGTTGCTCAGTTGTGTCTGACGCTTCATGACCCCAACTGAGGCTTTCTTGGCAAAGATACTGGAGCAATTTATCATTTCATTCTTCAGCTCATTTTACAGCTAAAGAGACTGAGGCAAACAGGGTTAAGCGACTTGCCCAGGATCACGCAGCTAGTAAGTGTCTGAGGCTGCATTTGAACTCAGGTCTTCCTGACTCCAGGACTGGCACTCTGTTCACTGTGTATCAGCTTAGCTGCCCCCCTGTCTTCTGTGCCTGTCAGTCAGTTCTTAATCATAATGACATTGTCTGCTATTAAGAATTTAATTTTCAGAAGCTTCTCAAACCATCATCAGGGATACCTTCAATGTGGTTTTGGATTATTCTAGTAAAGATTTTATAGACATGGGAAAGCATGCATATGAATCAATAGTTATTGCTGATTACCTTCATTTGGGGTAATGACACTAGGCTTCCTCTGGATACACTTAGTCTGGCCTGACTCTTTTTTCTCATCATTGCTTTCTTAAGGGCCGTTTTTCCTTTCTCTGCTATCTCCACAAAGCCTTCCCGTGAAACAAAGTGAGCCTGCCATCTCAAAGGCTATGGCTGAGGAGCCCAAAGACTGCCAGTTCTTCCATGCTAGAAAGAGTTAATGAAGAGTAGAGGCTACATCTGCTTATGGAAGACCAGAGTAGAGAGATCAACAAGATTTTGGCCATGGCAACTTATGAAACAAATACAAAATATTGTCTTTTAACACAGTTTTCATTAAGAAGATAATTTTACTTACAAATTTCATTTCAAGCTTCTGAATACACCCAATTAGAGGCTTACAGCTAAAGCAGCTTTGAGTGTGCTTAGAGTAATGAGATTATGGGTAGTGATAGAGATCAAATGATATAAGCTGGTAAGCATTCTGCAAACTTTAAAGTGCTAAACTGTAAATGTTAGCACTTATTACCATTAGAGGGTAATGCAAAGTCGGTATCTTTATTATGCCCAAATCTGTGTTCAAACATATACTGTCCGTTTAAATACGAGTATTCCCCTACATCTTAGTAAATATTCTAGGTCAAGTAAAATCTATAAGTAGATAAATCCATGGTATAAGTTTTCTGGTATAATGCTAAGATGAAATATTTTAAGGACTAAGTACCATTAATTAATTAATAAAAAAATTAATTAAAATAGAAATTTACATTAAATTAAAATGTAAAACCTTTAGACACTCTTCCCCCCAATTTTGTATATTTTATCTGCTCGATGATAGGTACTGCTTTTCTTTTTGTCATTGAAACAAGACTAGAGCTGATGCTTACAGACATAATGTGTTTCATGTGTTTACTAATTGACTTAGTAATGACATGTGCATCCTTCTTTCCACAGCTATATGCCAACCCAGCTGCAAGCACGGTGAATGTATAGGACCAAACAAGTGCAAATGTCATCCTGGATACTCAGGGAAAACCTGCAATCAAGGTAGGAACACCCTAGAAAAAGAAAATGCGATATCCTTTACTGGTAGCTCCTTTCCAAAGTTTGATCATTTCCTAAATAACATTTGGCAAACCACATTTGATGGTCTGCAAAAATGGAATAATGATAATAATGATGCCACTCATGTATATGGCGCTTTATAGTTTGCAAAGTGCTTTACATTTGGCATCTCATTTGATCCTCAGAGTGATCCCACGAGATCGGTGCTGGTATTGTTTCCATTTTACAGATGAAAGGACTGAGAAAGAGGAATGTGAGGTTACTTGCCCAAGGTCACACAGTAAGTGCTTGAAGCAGAATTTGAATTCTGGTCTTGATCCCAAGCCACTGTACCACTTAACGAGAAGATGGTAGTCAGAGGACCTGGTTTCAAATCCTGACTCAGTTGCTGACTACCTATGTGACCATGGTCAAGTAAACCTCTCTGAGTCTCAGTTTCATCATCAGTGAAATGAGCAGCTGCCTCTGAGATCCTTTTCAGATGTAGCTCTGTGATGATAGTCCTGTGTTTTTTGAACCAGGTCTTAAAACAGAAAAAGCAGCTCTATCCCTTTGGTTCTTTTCGAAAATTTTTTATTTTTTATTTGATTTTATTTTCTAAAAGTTACTCTTTTCTAAAAATGCATTTTAAGTTTTGAAAAGCAATATGGTGGAGTGAAAAGAACCCCACGGGAGGTCCAAGGTCTGGCTCTCCACAAGTTACTCTACCTCTCTGGGTCTCAATTGTTTTCGTTCTAAAATAGGGTTGATAACACCTTGTCTGCCTGCTGATTCCTGTAGGATCCTTCAGATTCTAATATCTGTGATTCTGTAATTAAATCTCCTTTGGATGTGCCAATTAATGAAATTGGAATGTTTTCTCTAAGAATCAGCCAATCAATTCGAAATGTTTGTGTCAAAAACAAAACATCTGCTATGTGCCAGACACTGTACTAGGTGCTAGGGATACATATATAAAGAATGAAACAATCCCTATTCAAATAGATAGATAGATAGATAGATAGATAGATAGATAGATAGATAGATAGATAGATAGATAGATAGATAGATGGATGGATGGATGGATGGATGGATGGATAGATAGATAGATACACACATACCTTAAGGATAGATACCTGTAAATAAATTTTACATGTGTACATATATGTGTGTATGTATATAGAGAGAGAGAAAGAGAGAGGGAGAGACAGGCAGAGACAGAGAAACAGAGACAGAGATTAGATTCAAGTAAATGTTAGGGACTTTAATATATGGTGGTGGAAGAGTACAACTTTTTTGCCCAAGTTTGACTGGGAAAAGGAGATGTAAATGATGATCCCTTGAAGGTATAATAGGGTCAAATAAAGGTTTTCAAGACTAGGGGAAGTCTGGGCATGTTCACATGCAGCAAGGATGGAGTCTCTGGATAAAGAGAGGTTGGAAATTAGGAAAATAGAGAATGGATGAAGGGACAAGTTATTGGAGGAGATGAGAAGGGATAAGATCAAGGGCAGAACTTGTAAGACAAAAAGTCACCTCATTTTTCCCTCTGTGGAGAGGGAGGAAGGATGTAGTAGGGTGCTGATGGCTTGAGAAGGGAGGAAGAAGTTTGAAATAGTCATGGTGGCAAGTGTGATAAAGAGACAATCAAAAAACAAGCAGATTGATGGGCAGCAGTAAGAACTTAGTTGAGAATTAGAAATAGAACTACAGTAGGAAGAGATAGAAAAAAATTACATTTAAAATAACTGGAAAAATGGGAAGGAGAAGGAAGGATAGAATTCAAACCTTAAAACTTGAAAAAAGAATGTTAAAAATGTTTTTATAGGTAACTGGGGAAAAAATAAAATATTATTTAAAAAAATAGCAGCAGACAATACAAAATACTTGGGAGTCTACCTCCCAACACAAACTGAGGAACTATATGAACACAATTACAAAGCACTTTTCACACAAATAAAGACAGATCTAAACAACTGGAGAAATATTAATTATTCATGGCTAAGCCAAGTGACCATTCTCCCTAAATTAATTGACATATTCAGTGCCAATCAAATTAACCAAAAATGATTTTATAGAGCTAGAAAAAAATAACAACAAAATTTATCTGGAAGAACAAAAGGTCAAGAATATCAAGGGAATCAATGAAAAAAATGTGAAGGAAAGTGGCCTAGCACCAGATTTCAAACTGTATTACAAAGCAATAATTATGAAAACAAGCTGATACCAGCTAAGAAACAGAGTGATGGATCAGTGAACATTTACAGGAGTAAACGACCATAGTAACCTAGTATTTGATAAACCTAAAGACTCTTGTTTTGGGGTCAAGAACTCACCATTTGACCGAAATTGTGGGAAATGGAGAGCATTTTGGCAGAAACTAGACAAAGATCAACATCTCACACTGTATACCAAGAAAAGGTCAAAATGGGTAAATTACTTAGTCATAACAGATGATGTCATAAGCAAATTAGGGGAGTATGGAATATCTCACTTGTCAGATCTATGAATAAAGTAGGAGCTTATGACCAAAAAAGAAATAGAAAGGATCATGGGAGACAAAATGGATAATTTTGATTGTATTAATTGAAATAATGTTTGACAAATGAAACTAATATAGCCAAAATTAGAAGGAAGGCAGGAAACTGAAAAAAAAAATTTACAGCAAGACTCTCTAATAAAGACCTCATTTTTCAAAAATATACAGAACTGCATCAAATTTATAAAAAAAAAAGAGCCATTCCCCAATTGATAAATGGTCAAAGGATATGAACAGGCAGTTTTCAGAAGAAATCAAAGCTATGTATAGTCATACGAAAAAAATTACTCCAAATCACTATTGATTAGAGAATTACAAATTAAAACAACTCTGAGGTACTACCTCATATCTATTAGATTAGCTAAAATGACAGAAAAGAAAAATGACAAATGCTGGAGGAAATGTAGAAAAATAGTAATGCACTGTTGGTGGAGTTGTGAACTGGTCCAACCAATCAGCAGAACAGTTTGAAGCTATGCTTAAATCACTATAAAACTATGTGTACCCCCTTTGACTTAGGTTTGTGTCCAGGAGAGAAAAAAGAAAAAGGGAAAGGACTTATATGTACCAAAATATTTATAGCAGCTCTTTTTGTGTTGGCAAAGAATTGGAAACTGAGGGGATGCCCATCAATTGGGGAATGGCTGAACAAGTTGTGGCATAGGATTGTGTGTTATAAAAAGTGGTGGTTTCAGAAAAACTTGGAAGACCTATATGAATTGATGCAGAGTGAAGTGAGCAGAACCAGGAGATCATTGTACGCAGTAACATCAATAATGTAATGATGATCAACTGTTAATGACTTAGCTATTCTGATCAATACAATTATCCAAGACAATTCTGGACTCAAGATAAAAAAAAATACTACCTACCTCCAGAGAGAGAAGTGATTTCTGAGGGCAAATTGAAGTATAATTTTTTCCACTATCTTTATTTTTCTTGCTTTTTAAAAAACATGCCTAGTGCAGAAATTTGTTTTGCATGATTTCACATGTATAATTGATACATATTGTTTGTCTTCTCAGTGGGTAGGGAAGGGGCTGCAAGGAGGGAGGTCATATGGAACTCAAAATTTTTAAAAATGAATGTTAAAAATAATAATTTATATATATATAAATAATAGGGAAATGTTTAACAAAATAAAAAATGTTGCAATGCACAAAAATTAAGAGAATGGATAACATAAATTCATATTGGACCCTCTCAGCACAGTCTGTGACTTTCTTTATTGTCATTCAGCAACTTATGAGAAGATGAATGGTAGGGATAATACTGGACTGGATTTTGGATAGGAATGATTAGTAATAGGATGATGGAACATGGGATTCAATGACTGAGGGTAGTAAAAGTTAAACTGATTAATAAAAGTCAAGATTTTGTGGTAAGACTCAAGCAACAATGATGGCCTGGAAAAGAAGGATGGAGTTCCTAGAGGCTGAGCTGAGAATAGAGAATGGCATGGCTATGGCCAAAAACTGTAGATGAATTTCAGAACTGTGACTTGTGGGTATGGAACATTGGTGAGTGAGGAATGTCCTCACTGTCATTTTATATAGTTGAAATGGAATGAAGAGTTGAAAAGGCTGATGAACTGGTAAGCAAAGATATTTGAGGTGACATCAACTTACAAGTTTGAAGTCTCTAAATATAAGGAGTTGAGGTGGAGAGGAAGACTTCAAACCAGGAACTGAAAAAGGAAGGAGAATCACCTAGGAACTGGTAAATAATAGCTGCCAGGATCTATCTGGATATGGTGTTTGACCTTCATAGAGTCAACCACAAAGGAGGAATGGTAAAACAGTTATATTAGTAGTAGTAATGATGATGATGATGATGATGATGATAAAAAATGGTAAAACAGTTACATTAGCAGTAGTGATGATGATGATGACAGTGACAATGATAGAAAATATTTATATAATCCTTTAAGCTTTACAGAGCACCTTATATAGAATGCCTCATTTGATCCTCATCACAACCCTCTGTGTAGCAACAACAACAACAATAACAATATCTAACATTTGTATAGCACTTTAAAGTTTACATAAAGTGTCTACTGGTAATCCCTGTTTTACAGATGACTAACCTGAATCTTGGGGAACTTACATGATATACATGTGGTCATATGCCTAGAAACTTATCAACAAGTTTTGTAAAACCTTTTATTAACTGTAGTTGCAAAAGGTAAAAGAAAATATCATTGAATATATTAATATCTATAAGTTATATATGTATATATAATTATATATATATATTCCCAGTATAATAACTTATATAATAACAATTGTTGTTATTATATAAGTTATTATACTGGTTCTGCTCACTTTACTCTGCATCCTTTCATATAAGCCTTCTTGAGTTTCTCTGAAACTGTGCCCTTCATCATTTTTTAAGCATAATAGATAATATATTCACACAGTATAATTTTTATCCATCCCCTAATTAACAGGGGATCCATTTTTTT